GGGTCAGCGCAGGGAGTAGGGGGGATCGAGCCCCATGTCAGGCTCTGTGCTCGGTGGGGAGTCTGCCCGAGAGTCTCTCTCTCCTGCTGCCCCTCCCGCCTCCCCTCCCCCAGGCATGCTCTCTTTTTCTGCTCTCAAAAATAAATAAATAAATCTTTAAAACAAAACAAAACAAACAACTAAATTTTGTTTAGGAGCGTCTGTGAACAAGGGGAATAGGTCCTTTTGCAAAGGGACTGCTGCCCAGGCATGGGCCAAGGGCAACTCAGGTGTCAGCAGGCCAAGGTGGGTAGGAAAAAAGCCCACCCTTGGGTTGTGGGGTGTAGAGAGGGCAGGTCAACCATACAGAAGGATCTCAGGGTCCTCTTCTTTTTTTTTTTTTTTTTTTTTTTTTTTTTTTTTGGCAGAGAGAGAGAGCACTCAAGCAAGAGAGTAGGGTAGGAGTAGAGAGAGGGAGAGAGAGAATCCTGAGTGGGCTCCACACCCAGCATAGAACCCAACGTGGGGCTTAATCTCACAACCCTGAGATCATGACCCAAAGCAAAATCAAGCGTCAGACTCTTAACTGACTGACCGAGCCACCCAGGTGCCCCTCAGGGTCCTCTTAAGCTCAACTGTCAGAGGCACCTCCTGCCCGCCCCACCCCTTCCTCCTTCATACACGAAATGTTTTTCTGAATTGTGCTGAACAAGACAGATGCTGCCTGTGCCTTTAAGGAGCACTACAATGAAATCTTTACATTTTGGGTACATGCTACAAGCTCTAAGTAGGTGGGACTTCATATCTCATCAGGGTGGGAGAAAGTGTCCCTGGAAGAAGCAGCATTTGAGGGGCGCCTGGGTGGCTCAGTGGGTTAAAGCCTCTGCCTTCAGCTCAGGTCATGATCCCAGGGTCCTGGGATCGAGCCCCGCATCGGGCTCTCTGCTCAGCAGGGAGCCTGCTTCCTCCTCTCTCTCTGCCTGCCTCTCTGCCTCCTTGTGATCTCTGTCTGTCAAATAAATAAATAAAATATTTTAAAAAGAAAAAAAAGAAGCGGCATTTGAGTCGACACTTGAAGGATGGGCAGATTTGGGCAGGTGAAGGGAGCTGGAAGCCTGTTGCAGGCCAAGGGAACAGCATGTGGGAAAGCCCCAAATGAGGACAGGCACTTGAAGCCTGAGAGGAAACGGAAGACAGAAGAGATCAGGTCTGTGTTGCAGGAAGCCTGGTGGGTGGGGGGCGGGGGGCAGTGAGGAGGGGCCCAGACTGAGAGTGGGGCACCACTCAGTGGCCACCTCCGTGGTCCAGGCAGGAGACAACAGCGGCATTACTGAGACTTAAGCAGATGGAACTGAGATGTGTCTAGGAAATCGAGTCAAAGCAAAGGAAGAGGGGATCGTTCCAGTGGAGAGACAAGGATCGGGGAGGGTCAAATGGGCTTGAGCTTCTGCGTGTCTGTCAGCACTGTGGCCAGCCCCGGCCCCACCAGGGAGGGGACCCCATGCTCTTGTCATCATGTGTTCACGGGGAGCCCTCTACTCTGTTCCTCCGGAGAGAAACTCTGGACTAATCCTGCCACCTCGCCCACCCCTTGGGAGGGTCTCTCCGCCTGAGGAAGTGGCGCAGGCGGGGGTGGGGGTCTGACATTTACTGGACAAGTTCCTCTCCTAGTTCGTGGGTAGTGATTTCATGGCTGCCCCCTGCAGCCTGCCCTTTCCTTTGGGTTGCGTCTGTTGGCAGGAGGGAGCCCCTCTCTACCTGATCCCATGCCCCAGACAAGCAAACCCAAGTTAGGGTGTAGGGTCGCCTGCTGCATCCCAGCCTCACGCTCAAGCTTCTTTCTCCAGCCCGGTGGGCCCCGCAGTGAAGCTGGGATGTCCCTGACACGAGGGCCTGCTTCTCAGCAGGCTCCCCCACTAAGGTATAAGGCAAGTGGCCGGACCCGCCCTCTACCCAGACTCGCTGCTGGGCATGGTGCTGGGCGAGGTCTCTACGTTCCTACGAGGATGTTACCCTTCCCCAGGAATGTGACTCTACTTCGTCCCCGATTTTAAACAGACCTTCCTGCCGCCTGATAGTTCTCAAAACTATCGTAAATACTAGCTTGTAGGGCTCTTCCTGAGGCAGTCCGAGTCTTCCTCGAGACCTTCTAACTTACATCTTGGCATTGACCGTGATCAGCAACATTGACAGGGCTGCACACTATCGCGTGGATCTTTCCCTTGGCCTAGGAAACCCGCGCTTAGCTCTGCCGCCCAGTGTCCCCCTCACGTCATCACACAGGAGACACTTCTCGGGGTCACAGGGCCCGAAATCACAGTGTCTCTGAGCAAGCGGTCTGGCGTCCTGGGCAGTGTGAATGACACGTGCGCCCCGTTTTTCTCACTGCAGAAGGGGTCTTGGGACCTCAGGCTTGTGTTTTGTGCACTAATGTGATTCTCGGCTCCCACATATATTCCGTCCCCTTTATTCCCAGTGCCCTGACTTCCTCACTACAGGTGTCTCTGCCAGTGCCTCTGACCCTTTCTGGAGAGAGCTGGAGCCCAGGCATGCTTTCCTGCATCTTCTTGTCTCTGCCTCCTCCCCTCCCCACAGTATGCTGCTCCTTGCTCCAGGCCCCAGAATGTTCTTCGGTCTGGAAAGAAGGCTGACATGGGAGATGATCCAAGTCTGTAAATTCCAGGAAAGGCATGAGCGGGACGCATGCTCCTAAGACACGTGCTCAGATTTCCTGGAAGTTTAGGTAACCAAGAAATTGGTTTCATGGCCTGGGAAGCCGGTCAGGAGGTGGGCCAGGCTGAAGGGAGCAAGTAGTCTCCCGCAGGGTCTTTGCAAGTGACCAGTGCTCTGCGCAGCCCTCGCCAACCGGGACACCGTGGCCACCGCCCCGGCCTCCCCCAGAGTCGCTCAGCCGCGTACCCACCGGCAGCGGGCGGCCACCTCTGGCGCGGTCATCCGCGGGGGCTCAGAATCCAGCGGAAGCTGCGGGCCCTTCACTCCTCCCCCGCGTCCGCAACTCAGCCTTCTCTCGTGACACCTCCTGACACCGCCTCCCGGGACCCCCCTCCTGGTGACACCTTCAGCTCATTACCTCCACCACTTAACGCTCCCTAATAACGAGCTCTCACTCGCAATCACACTGGCAGCGCCCGGGCGAAGACAGCCTCCAGCTGCTGCACGCCTGGGCCCGCGCCCACCGCGCTGTCTAGACGCGAGCACGGGGCCCGTCAGCATCCAAATGACAACACGTGCCCCAGCCGTCAAGCGTCAAAGCCGGCTCCATTCCCGGGGACTGCACACAGTGAATGAAGCCCAATTTCATGTTAATGCGGCTCCAGAACAAAATGCCAGGAGCTTCCTCCAGCACCTTCCCGCTTACCCCCTCACATGGGGAGGCCCCCGGGGGTGTCAGGACCGACCCTCCATTCACCTTGTGACCAACTGTCATCAGGATGTACCCAAAGCCCTCAGAGCCTCCAACCCCCACCACCCCGCCAAGACTCCCCACCCCTGCGGCCCATCCTTTGGGGTGATCACCTTCAGGCATGGTCTGGATCAAACCTGGCCACCGACCTCCTGCTGCTGGGGAGCCGGCTTAGGGCTCAGCTCAATGCACCCCAAATCAGCGGCAACTCACAAGGACTCACCATGCGGGGGAACCCCGGCTCTAGGGTACCCCCTGGGGACCCCCACTGCTCCGCAAGTCTCCACACTGAGACACCGGAGGACTTTTGAGAACTTCCAAGTTGCCCAGAAAGTACACCGGCTTGCACCTTTTGTTTAGGACTCTGTGTTAAAAAACCGACCCCTGCAAGCTGGGGAGCCGGTCCATGCTTAACCTGAGACAGTGGTCAGGTTGTGGGGAAGAGGCAGGACCTTTGTTCACGGGCTTGACTCTGTTCCCCCAGTGGCCAGCATCAGGTGACAGCCCCGGGCTCCCCCAGCTGCCCAGGCAGAAGAGAGTTCCTCTGCTCTTTCTGAGGAAGCAGAAGCCGGGAGAGCCACCGTCATTTGACCCAGCCCCTGCCCCCTGAAAGCCCACTGCAGGCTGCCCCTTTCGGGGCCTTCCTCCTCCTCAGAGCCCTGGGGCCTGAATGGTCCACTGGGGCGCTCCCCACAGGCTTCGGGTCCTGAGGGCAGGGACTAAGTCCCCCCAGCACCCAGCCTGTCACAGGAGACTCCCACTAGTGATGTAGCCAGGATGACACATGGGGCTGGGCAGGCCTCAGACCCGGCTCCTGCCCTTCCCCACAGCCGAACGGGGCTCTGAGGCAGGCAGCCTTTCCACCCAGGTCCTCGGTGCTTCCTTCTGGACCAGGGGCACCGATGTGGTACTAGCCTGGCCACACTCCTTGTACTTTGCCAAGAGGAGGCCCAGGAACATCCAGCTCGCATGTGATGGGCCTGGAGCGCCTCTGAGTCGGAGGCCTGCCTGGGGGCAGCCCCAGGCTGACCCCACCCGAGGCCACGTGACCGGCTGCGGCCACCTCCCCTTCCCGCGGAGAACAAACCCCAGTCTGGGTTCTGGAAGGATTTTAGAAGTTTGCCAAAGCAGGTCTGGGGTTAGGTTTCGGGAACCCAAGTTGTGCTGGGCATCAGCGGGGTCCCCCCAGCCAGCAGCGAGCATGTGTGGACACACGCAGGTGAGGATGGGGGAGGTGTGTGTCTGAGAATGGGAGGAAATGAAATAACCCAGAGCCCCAGGCCCTTTTCACCTGACCCAAAAACTGGTATCAAGCCCACCGGGTTCCTGGCTCAGAACAGCTTTGATGGGCAGGACCCAGGGAGCCAGGAGGAGACGGGCCCTCAGGAGAGGCCGTTCAAGGGTGGAAGATGTCAGTAGGGTCTGGGGTGGCCCCAGTGGTGGGAGGGGATAGGAAGCAGTGTCGTAGGTCTGCCTTGGGCAGGGCAGAAATGCCCAGAGGGGGCCTTTGGGTATGACCAGAGGCCAAGAGCCAGCACCTCTCAGTGGGGTCCCAGGGCTCCTGCTCCTGGATTTGGGGGGGGGGGGCAGCGCCTACCTGTACCACGGCGGGTGGGTGCTGAAGGCCTGGAGTCATAGGTGGCGGGGTCCTGCAGCGGGGGAGTCATCCAGTGCCCCCTCGGTGCCCGGGCCCAGAGCCCACTGCGCCTGCAGCACCAAGGGCCATTGTGAGGAGAATCTGAAAGGAGAGGGCAGTGGGAGGGGAGGGCCAGACCCTGAGGCGCGAAGGCAGAGTCCAAATGGACTTCTGAGGGCTGGGGAGGAAGCCTGAGGGGGTCGGCCGGGTGGACCAAACTCCGTGACAAGGAGGTCTGAGAAAGAAAACAGGAGATGTGTGGAAAGGGACCAGGATGGAGGGGATAGGCAAGGGCCAGAGAGGGCTCCTGGGGAGGTAGGGGCGGGAGCAGTGTGAGAGCAGGAAGCAGTCAGCACAGACCAGGTCTTGAGGGACTGAGCTGGAAGGACAGAGCAGAGAACCCAGGCAAGACCCAGGCCTGGCAGGGGAGGCAAGGTCTGGGGACTTGGCGATACGCGGAGGAAGGGAGGAGCTGGGCCTCAGACGCACTGGGCATGACCATCAGGCCCAGACGGGACCTGGATGGCTCATGGAGCCCAGAAGGGACATCCGAGGGAATCCTGGGGTGGCAGCCACCTGGAGTAGGCCTGTTCTCAATCCACCCACCATGCTCAGCCCCCCTCCCCAACCCCTCGCTGCCCCTCCCTGTAGTTTCAGCCCTCCTGCAGCAGCCACAAGGCCACAGGCTGGCCTCAGGACCCAATTGTGAACTCAAGTCCTTGAGCAGGTGGAGTGTGGGGGATGAGGTAAAGGCGTTGCTACAGGTATGGGGTGGGGGGCGGCTGAGAGTGGTTCAGGGTCACATGTAGGCGTAGGCGGTGTTGGCCAGGAGGCTACTCAGATAAGTGTGAGGGGGCGGGGCCAGCAATGAGAGGAGGAAGACGCTAATGGAGAGAGGTTACCAGCCCACGGGGTGGGGGGTGGGGTGCCCTGCAGGAAGGCTGAGGACAGAGGGACAACCTGAATGGGAGAGAGGTGTCCAGGCAGGGGAGAGGAGGGAAGGTGCCAGGCAGAGGGAAGGAGGGGAGGTGCTAGGCAGGGCAGAGGAGGGGAGGTGCCAGGCAGAGGGAAGGAGGGGAAGTGCCAGGCAGGGGAGTGGGTAGGAGGGAGAGGATGCCAGGCAGGAGCAGGATGGGAACATGCTAGGCAGGGAGGGGTGGCAGGCGAGGGGGAGGAGTAGGTGTAGGCGATCGGGGAGGAGGGAAGGTGCCAGACATGAGGGAGGAGAGGAAGGTACCAGGCGGAGGAGTGCCAGGCAGAAGGAAGGAGGGGAAATGCAGGTGGAGGGAGGACGGGAAGGTACCAGGTAGGGGAAGGAAGGAAAGAGGCCAGGCAGAGAGGAGAAGGGGGAGGTATCAGAGAGGAGGTAAGATGGGAGTTTGGCAGTCATGGAAGGGGTGCAAGAAAGGGGGTAGGGGGAAGCGAGAACCAGGCTGAGGGTGGGGGAGGTGCCAGGCAGGGGGAGGAAGAGAGGGAGGAGAGGGGGAGAGATCAGGAGAGGAGGAGGGGATGGAGATGCCAGGCGCCGGTGGGGGGGGTGCCAGGTAATGGGAAGTGCCAGGTAAGAGGAAGGTGCCAGGAAGGGGTGAGAAGGAAGATGCCAGGCAGGGGGGAGGAGGGATGCCAGGCAGTGGGGAGACCAGAGAGATGCCAGGCAGGGAGGAGAGCCGGGAGAGGCCAGGGGGGGCGGAGGGGGATGTCAGACGGGGGGAGATGCCAGACAGGGGGGAGGAGGATGCCAGGCAGGGAGGAGAAGGGATGCCAGGCAGGCGGGAGCAGAGGAGATACCAGGGAGGGGGGAGGAGGGATGCCAGGCAGGGGAAGGAGGGATGATGCCAACAGAGGCAGGACGGGTACTGCCAGGCAGGGAAGGCGGGGGCGCCGGCGCAGCGCGGCCGGGCGGCGTCTCCGAAAGGGCCTGGGGGCCGCGCAGCGCGGGTCGCTCACCTGCTCCCCCGGGACCCCGGCCCCGGAGCACAGCCGCCCGCTCCCTGCTCGGCGCTCGGCTCGGCCCGGCGCCTGCGCCGCTGCAGCCCGGAGCGGGGGAGGCGCAGGGAGCGTCTGCAAAGAGCGAGGAGCTTAATAATGAGTTAGGGATCAGAGCAGGCAGCGTCGCCCATCCATCCGAATGTGCGATCACCACGTTGGGAGCATTGCCACCCGCCCTGGCCAAGTCCATTGTGATCCTCGGCCCGTACACATATGATGCTCAGGTCTGTAGGGGCCCCTAGGTGCCCACCGATCCACACAGACCGTCGGAGCATCCTAAGTGACCGCAGACCGTACCTGCTCTCGAGACCACACGCGCACACATGCACATTTGCACATACACGGGGGCGGGGGAGGGGGTGACGGTTCCACTCCAGGTTCAGAACCAGGCACTAACTGATGACCCCTCCTCCTACCTTTACGCACTAGCCCTTGCCCCACATCCAGTCACAGGAGTCAACCCTGGTCACTCCATGGGGTATCCCAGGAGTCACTGTCAAAGCACCAGTAGCCGCTAGCACAGGGCCTGGCATTTGGTAGGGGGTCAGCTCTTACCTGCTGAAAAAGATGAGCCTCAGAGAGCCTTAGGCAAGGTCCAGAGCTAGTGGGAGCCCCCGCAGGGAGGAGCCAGCAGGTGAGGACTTTGGGGCAGAGTCCTGGCAGCCCTGAGGTGGAGCTGTGATAGAGACCCAGGTCGGTGGGGTCCTGCCCCCTCAGATTCCGCCTCTGCCCTGGATGCCTGGCCCAGCCCCATCTGGGCCACTCCCTTGCGCTCTGGGCATTTGGGGTTCCTGGGCTCAGGCGCTGTCTGGGCCTCTACTGCTGCCTTGGAGGTTTTTCCACCTCTGCTGTTTTTTTTCCTGGTCATTATGTTTTACTTAATTTTTTTTCTAATTGTGTTAAACTACACAGAACACAAAATTCACCATCTTCACCACTTTTCAGTATACGGGTCAACGCTGTGAAGTGTATTTACCTTGCTGTGCAAACCATCGCCAGAACTCTCTCACCTTGGAAACCTAAAACTCTGCCCATTAAACAATTCTTCTCTCCCCCCAGATCTTGGGCACTGTCGTTCTACTTTCTGTTTCTATGAATTTGATTACTCTTGGTACCTCATATGAATATATTCATATGCATTTGCCCTTTTGTGACTGGTTTATCTCACCGGACAGCATGTCCTCTAGGTTCGTGCACGCCGTCCCCAGTGTCAGCTCTGCCTTCCTCTTCAGGCGGAAGGAGCTTCCATTGCGTGGATGGGTACAACCTATGGATGGGTGTCAACCACATTCCGTTCATCCATTCGTTTCTCCATGGGTAATGTTGCTTACACCCCCTTTAAAACAAGTTGCCATTAAACCGGACAGAAACACACTCCCGCGCAGCCTGGGAAGACATACTCGCCTCCCAGCCCCTTTCAGCACCTGTCATCCTATTTTCAGGACCCTTCCCCAGAGGACAGCAGACCTTTGGCTACTCAGCAGACCCACTGTGGCCTTTCTACCCAAATTTGCTTATGTAATGCGCTAGATCAAATGTATTCGTGTGTTCTTTCTAGTGAAGGGACCCCGGGGTCCCTGCTAACAGTTCCATGCTGTCTTTCCTAGGAACATTTATCTCCTAACAAGGGACTCTTGGAGATGCAGGGAAAGGACAGGTGCAGTCGATATTTTGAGGCGGGGAAGGATTTGCTCAGTGACCTGGGGGGCAGGGAACATGGAAAGTGATGTGGATAATGGGGTCTGAAGGGGCTGGAAAGACCTCCCATGACCCAGACCTTGGTGTTGAGGTTAGTGCTGTAACCTTCACTCCTGTGGGCAGAGGAGTCTGTTCAGAGGTGGAACACACCCTCCTGTCTCTCCCCCCCACCCCGCCCCAAAAGCTCTCTCCCCTCCCACCACGAGTTATTAACCTCGTGCAACAAGCCCTTCTATGGGACAAGTAGTTCGTTCTGAAATGAGGCAACGTGACCGGGTTCCTACACGAGGGTGTGTGTGTTGGGGGGCTGGTCGTCAGAGGAGGCCCCCAAAGGGAGAACAGGCAGGCAGGACACAAGGAGAGGCAGCCTCAAGTGGGCAGGCTGAGTGCTGGCCTAGGCCTGGCCAGAGGGGACAATGCAGACAGCCAGCTGGGCAGTCCTGCCTCTTCTTACCCTGTGCCCACACCCTGCGCCCCCCCTTTTTCCTCCTACTCTCGGTCTGTCCATCAGTGACAAAGTTATCAAAGGTTAAGCCCTTGGCTGTTCTTTACAACTTCCCAGGTAGGTGGGGCTGCATGTTTCTCTCTCAGTATTAATACCTTGTTTGTAGGTCACTGATATCTTGTCCGTCTTTCCTTCCGGACTGGGAGCTCCAGGAGGGTGGGACTGGGGGTTGTCGGGCTAGCACAAGCCTGGTGCAGAGGAAGGCCTAGTAAATGTCTGGAGGCAGCTCTGGCCACAGGAGGGCTGGCAGTGGAGGCCTAGGAAGCCAGGGGTGAGGCTGAGCCAGAGGTGGGGTGGGACAGGGCCGGAAATGAGGGGCAAAATTCAGCCATTCGTGAGACTGGCCACTGTTCCCTGCAGCACTGCTCGACTTGGAAATACCTAAATGTTTGCCAATTGGTGACAGATTAAATAAATTGTGTGACAGGTGTAAACAGGTGATAAGAGACAGGATAAACAGGTGACAAGATAAATACATCCTTCCGTGAATGCTATCAAACAATGCGGAAGCTCTCTACATACTGACAGAGCAGGATCTCGAAGGGGAGTAGAAAAAAGCGAGACCTGCGGAACTGTGTAAAGCAGGCTCGTGTGTGTGTGTGTGTGTGTTGGTGTGTTTGTATGTATATGAACACACAGTCCTCTAGAAGGGTACGAAAGGAGAGGGCCTCTGGTGAGTATCTGGAGTGTGGGATGGGTAGAGTGAGGCTTGGTTTCTACTCTGTGTTCCTTTTTACCTTTTTAATTTAGAAGTAAAAGTTTACAGAAATCACCCATATCATCATTTATACTTTCAAATTACACTGAGCACCCACTGTGTAAGATCAGGCCACAGATCTATGTGTCTTTGATCATGAACCCGTATGGGACTCTTCATCAGTTCATTTTTCTTTCTTTTAAGATTTTATTCATTTGTTTGAGAGAGAGAGATGGTGCATGTGCACAAGCAGGGGGAGAGGCAGGAGGAGATGGAGAAGCAGACTCCCCGCTGAGCATGGAGCCCACATGGCACAATCCCAGGACCCCAAGATCATGGCCTGAGCCAAAGGCAGATGCTTAACCATCTGAGCCTCCCAGGCAAGCCACCCTTCTCTTACTTGTTTTGCATTTCTGCCCCCAGCTTGTCTTATGGTATGTCCAGCACTGGACTAGGCTCTGTGGGCAGGGATGAATGAGACACCTCTTGACTGGATGGGGATTAATGCATGGAAGCAACTCTACCATGCCAGGGAGAAGGGCTGGAGTACAATCACAGAGGCCAGTCCCAATGCTGGAGGGGACAGAAAGTGGAATGGAGCTGGGGCGTAGGGGGATTAGTGCTTCATGGGGACAGAGTTTCTGTCTGGCAAGAAGAGAGTTCTGGAGACGGGTGGTGGAGACGGTTGCACAACAATGTGAATGTATTTAATGCCACTGAACCTCACACTTACACATGGCTAAGACGGTACATTTTAGGTGGTGTGTCTTTCACTATAATTAAAGCACATAAAAATAGGGGTTATCCTGTTTAAGACATTGACTACAGTTAATAATACTGTATCTCATATTTGAAAGTTGTTAAGAGAGTTGATCTTAAAGGCTCTCATCTCAAGAAAAAAGAAATTGGTCACAATGGGAAGTGATCATTAACTAGACCCCTCCATACCCTCCTCCCATGAGGACAGGGAAAGTGCAAAGATTCCAGAAACTGCTCTGAGATTTAGTCAGATTTATTTCTGATTTGGTGTTTTTCTTCTCTTCAAGAGTCCTCCTGCCCTGCCCACCTCAAGATATCCTGTTTAAGCTTTGGGCCCCACAAGACCTCGGTCTGGTCCTGGCTGAGCCGGGTCCTGAACTGGGAGTGCTTTTTCTTTCTCGGACAACTTTTGTTTTCCCTAAAGTTTAGGATTAGCCTTTTTAAAATAAATGACTTTTTAGAGCAATATTAGTTTCATAGTAAAACTGAGTGGAGAGTACAGAGAATTCCCATATACCCCTGCCCCTTCCCCCACCCTTCCCCCACCCCACCCCCCACTACAGAAATGGCACACCACCAGAATGGGACATTTGTTCCAATCAGGGAACCCACACTGACACATTGTTATCACCCAAAGTTCACAGTTGACATTGGAGTTCACTTTCCTTGTTCATTCTACAGATTTGGACAAATGTATAATGATGTACCCACTACCATGGCATCATACAGAATAATTTCACTGCCCTAACAAACTTCTATGCTCTATTCCTCCCTCCCTCCCCACAACCCCTGATCTCCACAGTTTTGTCTTTTCTAGACTCCCACATAGTTGGAAGCATACAGTATGTACCCCTTCAGAGTGGCTTCTTTCCGGAAGTAATATGCATGTAAGTTTCCTCCATTCATATTCTTCTTGTGGCTTGATAGCTCGTTTCTTTTTAGAATAATATGGCAATGGGGCACCTGGGTGGCTCAGTTGTTAATCGTCTGCTCTGCCTTCAGCTCAGGTCATGATCCCAGGGTCCTGGGATCCAGCCGGGCATCAGGCTCCCTGCTCAGTGGGATGCCTGCTTTTCCCTCTCCCTCTGCTGCTCCCCGTACTTGTGATCCTTCTCTCACTTTGTCTCTGTCAAATAAATAAACAAAATCTTTTAAAAATATATAAAAGAGAATATGGCATTGTTAACAGTAACAATTATCTTTTTGAAAAATTGTTTCCTTAGTTTCCTACATACTTATAAAATCAACCCCAAGTCTCTGCTGACGGGCTATCTAAGTCCCCTCAAGGCATTCAGATTCAATAGGCTCTCCTGGAGCCTTCTGACCTATTTCAGTCTGGACCGGTTGCCCACAGCTGTTATCCTGGAATTTCCTTTCAGTATAATCTTG